CTGTTCACTCTGATGGTAGTTTCTTTTGCTGTGCAGAAGCTCTTTAGTTTAATTAGATCCCATTTGTCAATTTTGGCTTTTGTTGCCATTGTTTTTGGTGTTTTAGTCATGAAATCTTTGCCCAGGCCTATGTCCTGAATGGCATTACCTAGGTTTTCTTCTAGGGTTTTTATGGTTTTATGGTTTTATTGTCTTATGTTTAAGTCTTTAATCCATCTGACAAAGGGTTAATATCCAGAATCTACAAAGAAACCAATTTACAAGAAAAAAAACAAACAACCCCATCAAAAAGTGGGCAAAGGATATGAACAGACACTTCTCAAAAGGAGACATTTATGCAGCCAACAAACATGTGAAAAAAAGCTCATCATAACTGGTCATTAGCGAAATGCAAATCAAAACCACAATGAGATACCATCTCATGCCAGTTAGAATGGCGATCATTAAAAAGTTAGAAAACAACAGATGCTGGAGAGGATGTGGAGAAAGAGGAATGCTTTTTACACCGTTGGTGGGAGTGTAAATTAGTTCAACCGCTGTGGAAGACAGTGCGGCAATTCCTCAAGGATCTAGAACCAGAAATACCATTTGACCCAGCAATCTCATTACTGGGTATATACCCAAAGGGTTATAAATCATTCTACTATAAAGGCACATGCACACGTATGTTTATTGCGGCACTATTCACAATAGCAAAGACTTGGAACCAACCCAAATGCCCATCTATGATAGACTGGATAAAGAAAATGTGGCACATATACACCATGGAATACTATGCAGCCAAAGAAAGGATGAGTTCATGTCCTTTGTAGGGACATGGATGAAGCTGGAAACCATCATTCTCAGCAAACTAACACAAGAACAGAAAACCAAACACTGTGTGTTCTCACTCATAAGTGGGAGTTAAACAATGAGAACACATGAACGCATGAACACAGGGAGGGGAACATCACACACCAGGGCTTGTCAGGGGGTGGAGGAATAAGTGAGGGATAGCATTAGGAGAAATAGCTAATATAGATGATGGGTTCATGAGTGCAGCAAACCACCATGGCACCATGTTATACCTGTATAACAAGCCTGCACTTTCTGCACATGTATCCCAGAACTTAAAGTATAATAAAATTTTTAAACAGTCAATGACAATGACAATGGTATCTTAGAAGGAAGCAATGGCAGAAGACATGGAGAGAAGTGGAACAACTTAAGATATATTTGGAGGTAATATCAACAGCTACTAGTGGCTCAAGCGCAGAAGAGGGCCTGGTTGTCCTAAACTCACAACACTGTATTTTTTCCTAATTAAAATAATAAATATAATAAGATAAAAAGAGCATTTCAATGTTGTGTTCATTTTGCATTGCTTTGATTACTATCACTTGAACGTTGTTTGTTTATGAGCAATTTGCATTTGTTTGTGCATTACCTATGATTGGGTTCTTTGCCCCCTTTGCTACTAGATCATTCTTTTTCTTGTTGCTTATGTGTCAGTTTACCAGGGCTGCTGTAACAAAATACCACAAACTAGGTGGCTTAAAACAACAGAAATGTATTCTCAGCATTCTAGAGACAGCAAGTGCAAAATCAAAGCATTGGCAGTACATACTCTCGCTGAGGTCTCTAGGGAGGATCCTTCCTTGCCTCTTCCAGTTTCTGGCAGCCCCAGGTGTTCCACAGCCTGTGGCTCCATCAGCTGAATCTCTGCTTCCATTCACACATGAGGTTCTCCCTGTATGTCCATGTCTCCTCCTTTTATGACACCAGTCATATTGGATTAAGAGCCCTCCCTACTCCACAGCTTAACTAATTATTTCTGCAACGACTCTATTTCCAAGTAAGTTGCCATTCTGAGATACTGGGGGTTAGGACTGTGACATATCTTTTGACAGACCCAACTCAAACTGTAACAACTCATAAGAGATCTTAATACACTGCAAATATATTTCTCAGTTTATCATTTGCCTTTGTATCCTGTTTATGATGTTTGGAATGGATAGAAGGTTTTAATTTTATGAGTTTAATCTATTAGTTTTTCTTTTATCCAGTATTTGTTGAGTGCCTACTCTGTGTGTGTGTGTGTGTGTGTGTGTGTGTGTGTTTTACCAGATACTGTTCTAGGTGCCCTTGATCCAAAGATGAATGAGAATTGGCTGTCTTATCCCTACATGCTCAGAGTCTAGGAGGCAGGCATGTAAACAAATAAGTATCATTCAAATGATGACTACAACAATAAAACATTTGAACCAGAGAAAGGAGGTAAAAATAAGAATGCTCAGCAAAGTTTGGGCAGTTGTACAGAGGAAATCAATCATGCCAGACCCCTCTCAGCTCCAATAGGGAATGCACCAGCTTCAAGAGCCCGAACAAGAGACCCAGAGCCAGCAAAGCAGACATGGGGTTTATTGAGGGAAACTTACTTACATATAGGGATGGTTCAGTGACAGTGGGCTACATGGAACTGCTCTCCCCAGTGGCAGCGGGCAAAGGCAAGGCAGGAGAGCCGCTTGTAAGAAGCACGCAGTTGAAATAGCGTTTTCACTTAGCACCCTCCTCCTAACAACCTCCAACTGGTAACCTTCATTTAACCCAAAACACAGGGCTTTGATCTCTTGTACAGCCTGTGTTCCTTGGCATGGGTGAGGGGCTCAGATATTCCTCACAGATAAGGAATGAATCTCCAGGTTGGCAACTTCTGAATTCCTTAGGTCAGAACTTCAAATACACATTTGTGTGCATCTACCATGCAGGGTCATTCTCAGGGTATGCTGAAGTCAGACTATCACTGTCAGGTGCATCTACCATACACAGGTGCATCTACCATTCAAGGCCCTTGGGCAGTAGTTAAGGAATATGAAGTTTCACTAATTATGCCTCAAACTGAAAGTTTCCTGGCTGACTGTCCATCACGTAGGGTCTCCTCAAAGTGCAGTCCAGCAGACCACAGCATCAGCCTCACCTGAAACCTTGTTAGAATGCAGAATCTTAGGCCATGCCTCAGACCTAGGGAATTAAAACCTGCACTTAAATGACATACCTGGATGATGTGTACACACATGAAAGTCTGAGAAGCACTGCCCTATGCTTTGGAAGTCATTTTTTCAGATTTACAGTCACAGGCTTTTGTCTGTGATTACAAGGACCTAATTAGAAAGTACCCTAGAAGCCTTGCAGTACAAAAGCAAACGTTTAAACTCTTCCTATGTGTTATGTCAAGATGCTGATTAGTACATCAAATGAGCAGCCTTCACCAAACAGCTTCATAATCCATGGGAAAAGAGATCCAGTGTGCACATTTCAGGGTAAGTTCAGTGGAAGCCAAGGGGACAATTTGCTCTAGGGATGACCCTGGTGTGACCCTGTGATTCAGACCGAAGATAAGCCTCCAAATCCATTCCCTGGATCAGCTGTTCAAAGGGGATTTGTCTCCTGGGTTATAATTGGTCTCCCGCTTGTATTTTGAGCAGGTGCTTCAGGGGAAAGGGAAACTTTGTTTTACTTATTTAAGCAGTTGAATAAAGGAAGCATCTCTTTGGGAAAGGAGATAGACAAGAATTGTTTCTGGCATGGTAATTGGGTAGAGTAAGCTGGAAGAGGTGGGGGTAGAAGAGAAAGTGGTGGAGAGAGAAATGGAAAACAAGACTTGAGTGGAGAAGAAAACTCTCACCAAAGTATAACAGCTGCTGGATCACTCAAAAACCAGTATTGTTTTACTTCAAAGCCAAGTTCAATTCTGCATTCTGAAAATGAAGGAATGCAAGGTACACACAAGGTAGATAACTGGGGACAAAGATGTGAGACACCATAGCCTCTAGATGTAAGATATTCCTTAGGAAACACTGCAACATGGATGAAGCCAGCCTCCTGGCACCCTCCAGAGTGTGCACAACCAACCGGCAGTCTCGTCCTTGGTTCACTCAGTCGTGGGTTTTACTAGAACAAGACTAGAGTCCATTTTAATGTATGCTAAAAGATATAAGAGAGGCATTCAATGCAAATATTAACCTGGACTAGTGTTTAATGCCAGTCTCCAATGCATTCTTCCCACCGAAAATCTGTCGGTAATTTTAGAGGGAACTTATGGGAATCATTTTAACCCAGCAAATAAATAAAAAGACTTGCTGCCTGCAGTTTATTGTGACAGTCCGGGCTTCCCTGTACAGTGAGATAGATGTGCACTGCTCAACCCCAGGCACTCTTTAGAGCTGTGTACTACACAATCCGTAAAAGCAAACATGGCTGCCCTGGGGACAGAAAAAAATAAAAACAAAGGGGATTAAGACAAGGTACCTACAGTCAAGAATTTACCATTTAATATAAAAATAAATAGCTAAAACCTCCATCTAGGAGAAACTCTCAAATTTCTATGACCAGCTTTGCAGAGGCTACTGTCGCCAAGAGTCCTGGTACTATCAGCCATGGACAACCCCACCGTGTTCTTCAACGTTACTGTCGGCAGCGAGCCCTCGGACCACGTCTCCTTCGAGCTGTTTGCAGAAAAGATTCCAAAGACAGCAGAAAACATTTGTGCTCTGAGCACTGAAGAGAAAGGATTTGGTTGTAAGGGTCCCTGCTTTCACAGAATTATTCCACGGTTTATGTGTCAGGGTGGTGACTTCACACACTGTAATGGCACTGGTGGCAAGTCCATCTACGGGGAGAAATTTGAAGATGAGAACATTATCCTGAAGCATCCAGGTCTCGGTATCTTGTCCATGGCAAATTCCGGACCCAATACAAACTATTCCCAGTTTTTCATCTCCACTGCCAAGACGGGGTGGTTGGATGGCAAGCATGTAGTCTTTGGCAAGGTGAAAGAAGGCATGAATATTGTGGAGGCCATGGAGCTCTTTGGATCCAGGAATGTCAAGACCAGCAAGAAGACCACCATAGATGACTGTGGACAGCTCTGGTAAGTTTGACTTGTGTTTTACCTTAACCACCAGACCATTCCTTCTGTAGCTCGGGAGAGCATCCCTCCACCCCATTTGCTGGAAGTATCCTAGAATCTTTGTGCTTCCACTGCAGTTCCCTTTGGGTTCCATATTTTCTTCATCCCCTTCCATACCTAGCTGGATTGCAGAGTTAAGTTTATGATTATGAAATAAAAACTAATTAACTATTGTCTGTCCTTGTTTGAGTTAGGGCATTCGTGTAGGCCTTACTTGAAACAGAAACAGGTTACTTCTGAAACATCACTTACATGCTTGCTTAATTCTACATAGTACTTCGTTTTTTTTTACTTTCCAGACCCAGGAAGTCTCAATGTTTGTTGAGTAGAATATTGAAAATGTAGGCAGGGGCTGGGCATGGTGGCTCACAACCTGTAATCCCAACGCTTTGGGAACCTGAGGCAGAAGATCACTTGAGGATAGGAGTTGATATCAGCCTGAGCAACATAGTGAGACCCTGTCTCTACAAAAAATAATTAGCCCGGCCTGGTGGTGCATGCCTGTAGGCCTAGCTAATCAGGAGGCTGATATGGTAGGATTGCTTGAGCCCAGGAGTTAAGGCTGTGGTGAGCTGTGATCATGCCACTACACTCCAGCCTAGGTGGCAGAGTGAGACTCTGTCTCTTAAAGGTAGGCAGGGGCAGGAAAAACAAGGAGCCAGAAATTAGAGGTTGGACCAGTCTCAATGAGTTCATGCGTTTAGAGGTGTTCTTCAAGGTGACTAGTGTCACAAACTGAGAAATCTGTTATGACTCATTTTCTGTAACAAAGCTAAACTTGAACACTGCTGGTATTCCTTGAGGGAAGGATATTGGGCTTTAGGCTCTATGGGGAAGGGTCCTGGACCCTTTAAGTTATTTGAGTTGGAGGATGTAGGTCAAGTTTATACATCTTTTAATTATGGTGGAATTCCTAGGTAGAGTCTGAAAAGCCAGATGCTGTAGTCAGTCTTTCTGCAGAGGATTAAGGCCCAGACCACATGCAGTGACTAGTTACTGCTTCTAGCATATAGAGCCTCTCTCTAACTTTGGTTATGGAGACTTTAAGATCTTGCCAACCTGCCAAATCTGAGCCAAAAGATCTGGTCAAAGCGATTCCCTTCCCTTAATTGAGGACTTCGTTTCTCATGAAATTAAATGTACAGTGCTGGCAAGTAGATGTACAGGCTGAAATATACATATCAGAGGACAATCTAAGCTGAGAAAATGCCACCACTACCCACCTTAATTGCCCTCTAAAGTTCTTAACCCAGCAATCAAGTTTGCCTATCCTGAAGATGTGAGATTTGATCACTTGGTGTGTTTTGCAAATTTTTGTTTTACTGTCTGCCTGGTTCCTTCTACATGAATTACTGATGCAACCCCCTCTACCACCACCACCACTTGTTCATCTTAGTCCTGTATATTGTCTGGTTACATATCCCTAAGTGACATCATTCAATGTCTTAATGTACTTTAGCTCAAGCCTGAGCACAACATGGAAATAAATATTCTTTCATTATCAAAAAAATTTTTTTAAATGTCTATGACCTCTGAAAATGAAAACCAGAAAGTTTAAGATCCATTTATCTCCATATAATGTACATAAAAGTTATTTGGGGATTCCTGGACCATTTTCTAATATGATTTTAATTGGATATTTCACAATCCTGTTATTTTTTAATTGCCTGTTTGCTTAAAATTTATCACCTAGATCTTCATGACTATTTTTAGCTTTCTTGTGAATAATGAGATTATTGGGAGGAGCAAAAAACACATGCATATACTTTGTTAATGGAACAATACACAGATGGCAGCCATCTGACAATTCCATTATTCAATCTTTTTAAAAAGGAAAAAGCTGACTTTGTTTTTGTATATCTTTTTCTAATTCAATCTAATGATGATCAATTTAAATTTCTAGCCTACAGGCATACAAATTTTGAAACATCAAATATTAGGACTTTGAAAGCTGTCAGTTCATTATGATCATAAACTTATTTTTAAAACTTTTTTATTCTTAAAAACATTTTATTCTGAAATATTTTTTCTTAAATACTTTTATTCTTAAAATATTATATGTCCCTACCTCACACCATATGCAAAGATTAACACAGCATGAATCATAGATCTACAAATAAGAATTAAAACTATACAACCTTCCTAGAAAAAACATAGGTATAAATCTTCATAACTTTGGATTAGCAATAGTTTCTTAGATGTGATCCCAACAGCACAAATGACAAAATAAAAAATAAATTAATTAGACTTTATTAAAATTAAAAACTTTTGTGCTTCAGAAAACATCATTAAGAAAATAAAAAGACAACTCACAGAATGGGAGAACATGTTTTGAATCATATGTTTGATAAGGTACTTGTCTCCAGAATATATAAAAACCTCTTAAAACTCAACAATGGAAGGACAAATAACTCAACTAAAAAATGGGCAAAGAATTTGAATAGAATTCCTCCAAAGAAGATACACAATTTGGCCAATAAGCACATGAAAAGATGCTCAATATCATTAGTCATTAGGAAAATGCAAATCAGAACTACGGTGAAATTTCATGTACATTAGGATGGCTATAATAAAAAAAGGTGGACAATAACAAGTCTCAGTAAAGATATGAAAAAGTTGGAATGCTCATGCATTGCTAGTGAGATTGTGAAATAGTACAGCCACTTGGGAAAACAGGCTGGCAGTTTCTCAGAAAAGTTCCTCACAAGATTAAATGTAGTTCCCAAATGACCCATTCCAGTTCTAGGTATATTCCCAAGAGATTTGAAAACATATTTCCACACAAAAAACTTGTATGCAAATGTCCACAGCAGCATTATTTATGATAGCTAAGACATGAAAACAATGTGCATGTCTACCAACTGATGAATGGATAAACAAAATGTAACCTACCTATATAAAAGAATATTAATTGAAGTTTTGATACATGCTACAACATGGATGAACCTTGTAGACATTGTGTTAAATGCAAGAAGTCAGACACAAAGAGCGACATATTACATGATTCCATTTCCATAAGATGTCCAGAACAGGCAAATCTATGGAGACACAAAACAGAATGAGTGACTGCCAGAGACTACAGAGATGTGAGAAGGAAAAATCACTGCTGACAGGTACCTTTTTGAGGTGATGAAAATGTTCTGTAATTAAGTAGTGATGACAATTCAACATGTGAATATATTTTTTAAAACCCACTGAATTATGTACTTTAAAAGAATGAATTTTATGTTAGGTGAGTAATATTTCAATAAAGCTGTTATTTTTTTAAACTATGTATACGTTTCAGAAAAACAAAAACTAGAATGGGAAAAATTTACTCCAATTCTAACACTACAAAATTTATTTTCTAAAAGAAATATTTTTCTTTTATAAAAATGAAACAACTGAAGAGACTGTGTAATTTGTCAATTTATAGTACAAAAATGATCTGGTAACTCCACAAACCGCTCAAGTAAACTGTACATGGAAATGTTGCATCCGGTAGACCCTGAGAGTCCTTGCCCCAGACTTCAGCACATATTAAAATGAAGCTTCCTAGCCCAGGCACGGTGGCTCATGCCTGTAATCCCAGCACTTTCCGAGGCCGAGGCATGTGGATCACAAAGTCAAGAGATCGAGACCATGCTGGCCAACATGATGAAACCCCGTCTCTACTAAAAATACAAAAATTAGCTGGGCGTGGTGGCACACACCTGTACTCCTAGCTACAGGGGAGGCTGAGGCAGGAGAATCACTTAAACTCAGGAGGTGGAGGTTTCAGTGAGCCGAGATCTTGTCACTGCACTCCAGCCTGGTGACAGAGTGAGATTCTGTCTCAAAAAAAAAAAAGAAGAAGAAGCAGCTTCCCCAAAAATGCACTTACACACTGAAAGATCAAGAAGTAAAGAGTCATGATATCTACAATTTATTCACATATTCTTCAGCAATAACAACAATATTAATAAATATCAGTATGTATATATAGAGAAAATAAATATGGCAATAGTGACTAGTGAATCTGGGTTATGGGTATACAGTAACTCATTACATTATTCATGCAGACTTTCTCTAAATTTGAGTTTTGCTTTTAAGATAAAAAGTGCAAAAAGTAATAAGGTGGATTATATACAGTGACTCTCATTTGAGGGAGCCTAAAGCAGGGTCTCTCGAATTTACTATGTGTATCCACCTGTTACCTGAGAAATTAAGTGGGGAGGTGGCAAGGGGCAGTAAAAGGAGGGTCCACGCCAATATCATCTTCCCATTCCTGGTTTCTGATGTGTGTTTCTTGGTGATCAGTGACATCTGAAGAAGAAAACATATCCCACCCTAGCTAGTAACTTAGGAGGGACCCAGTCCTCACTCTCCAACAATTAAGGCACCAATCTGGAGTGCTGTCATATGTGCTTGCGTTCAAGTTTCTTCTCTTGTTCCTTTATTCCAAAATTATGTTTTAAGCAGTTAATCTAAGTTATAAAAAATTTATTCCTATATACATAAGAAAAAAACTGAAAGGATACCCACTAAACTGGCAGGGGAGAAGGGGTGAAGAGGGATTTCTACTTTTTACTTCAAGTATTTACACATTCTGTGTTGTTTTTATGTGCTTCAATATTCATCATGAACATGAACTAGTTTTATAATATTTTTGAACCTGAATCTCTGGCAAACCGTTTTATAATTTTTTAAAAAAATGATTGCTCAAGTGGGATGGAATTTTACAATCTCTATTAATTTACTTTAAAGTATTTCAACAAAGGGAAATATTAGCTAAATGTGGCCAAATCTTGGTAACTATTCAATCTGGATGAGGGATATATGGCCATATTGTACTCTCTATGTATATTTTATTTTTTTATACTGAATATTATTTAAAGGACCATTGTAAAAAAATGTTTAAAGGCAGGAGAATTAAGAGAATAAAAGTTGAATTCATCCACAAAATTATATGAACAATAATTTTGCTTTTTTTTTTGAGACAAGGTCTTGCTCTATTGCGCAGGCTGGAGTGCAGTGACACAATCACAGCTCACTGCAGGCTCAACTTCCCAGGCTCAAGTGATCCTCCCACTTTAGCCTCCTGAGTAGCTGGGACTATAGGTGCACACCATCACACTTGGCTAATTTTTAAATTTTTGATAGAAATGGGGTTTCACTCTGTTGCCCAGGCTGGTCTCAAACTCCTGGGCTCAAGCAATCCTCCTGCCTTGGCCTCCCAAAGGGCTGGGATTTTGGCATGAGCCACCATGCCCAGCCTTGCTGTCTATTTTTGAAAAGCATTTAAGGGTATTGGAAAATGCTTATTCAATATCAAGCGGTGACAAACTTTCTGTAAAGGACCAGATGGTAAATATTTTAGGCTTTATAGTGCTATAGTGATATGGTCTGGCTCCGTGTCCCCACCCAAATCTCATCTTCAATTGTAATCCAAATTGTAATCCCCACATGTTGGGGGAGGGACCTCATGGGAGGTGACTGAATCATGGGGGCGTTTCCCCCATGCTGTTCTCCTGATAGTGAGTTCTCACAAGATCAGATGGTTTTGTGAGGGGCTTTCCCCCTTTGCTC